CACTTTTCATTCTTCTGGTTCATCTCGTTTCCCGCGGTTCAGGGTCTTCTACAGCTACGTTTCGTTGAGTTCGGCAGTAATAGTATTTCCATTCTTCCTGTTATTGTCCGCAAAGGGGGTTGGAGTGGTGAGGAAGAAGAAGAAGACGACGAATGCAAGCCCGAAGCTTTGCCGAGTTTTGCCGAAGCGCACGCTGCATTGGCGAAAGTGAAGTCGTTCTTTTATGCGCTTAATATTAGTGAACGTGACGAGGAAAACATTTTGAACGTGGAAAGTGCTCTGTTTGGTCTAAAACGTAAAGTTTCGACAAACCAGTTGTCCATTAAAGACTTTTTTGGTAAAAAGAAGTAACTTTGAAAGAGAAACATTGTTTTTTTTTAAATTTTTAATGCTTTCCCGTATCTATCGTTTTCCCGCATTCATCGTTTTTATTTCCCACCCCCGCCGAAAACGATGCATCGAGGTTTCACTGTATTTACTTTAATCCGCTAAGATGTCCAATGTTCATAAAACCGTATCAACTATCTACCTACTTGAGCTGTAAATACTATGTCTAAAGCAGCATTCTATTTTGTGTCTTTGCTGTATAATACAATATAGTTGACTCACTCTGACTTACCCTGGCCTTTGCTTCATTTACGAAAACGCACATGATTAAGCACTCAAAAAAATATATTGTACAATCTGTCAAATTTCATCCAGAAAAGTAGATTCTGCCAAATCACATGCGAGTCTGATATACAATATGTCCAGACAGAAAAACATGGTTTGTAACAGAATGAACAGTACACGATAAGTCCAAGACAATGTAGTCAGTACAATTCTATATTAATAGGATGTAATCTTCTAACCTGTGACTGGAGAGTCAGCAGATCCTGAAGGAAGTTTTGGTGTTTACGCTGCAGAGCTGAAACTGAACCAGCATCACGGCCCAGCTCATCGGACATGGAGTGCTGCTTCTCCAAAATACGGCCCAGAACATCCTTGCAGTCATGGAAGAACTTGTGCAATTCACGTGATGCAGCTAGCATCTATGGGCAAAATATCACAAATTTACATCATTTTTTTATTCAGTCCAGTAATATAATTTATGGTGGTCACTTTTATTAATCATTGTTAGACTTTAGGTTTTTCAATTAGAAAGGGAGTTGAAGGAAAAGCCCTCATCATAGACTAATACTCCATATTTTGCTGTCTCAAATTATAGATGAGAGAATGGTTCCCCTGTTCAAGCCTCACTAGGACAATGGCCAAGAATCTTCAAACAGACCATGACCACTTTATCTCACATCCTTCCAAATCCACTCTTCCCTCTGATTTGTCAGTCTCACTTCAGCCTCTGCAGCTCCCACAGCATGTTATAATAAATTACAAGAGGAACACACTGCTTTATACCTGCGTTCTTGTTTCAATGAGTTCAAGCAGATCTTGCCAGGCCTCATTAAGCCCATCCTTCCACTCTGCAATTGTGGCAGAATCAGAGTGACCTGCACTGATAAGCTGATCAGCAATTCCATTAACAGCAGCCACACGCTCGCTGCCAATGGCCTCAGTGTCCCGTGCAAATTCCTTGAACCTCTCCCATAGTAACTGTTGCCAAAATAGAAACATATTTTATTAAAATAATTCAGCGTTTCCTTATGCTGCACATAGCAAAGTCAAACAGACAACAACACACCGTAACATGATCATAATCTTGTCCCAGTTCATGTGAGCCAGCCACAACCTCACGCTCTGCTATCCACTGTTCTAGGTCGTCAACTTCTCGGTTTAACATGAATAACTGGAGGGCTTCATCAAGCTTGGCTCTCCTCTCACCTGCCAGATCCTTCAACCCAGCATAGAGTTTGTCCACTTGTGACTGCTTAACAGCTATCTGGTCACTACAACACAACACAATTAAATTCTTATATCACATAAATCCCTATTAATCAAAGACAGTAACCTGAACCTATGATTCAATGTACTATGCCCAACATAACCTTCAATTAATTGCTTATGTCAAAAAGATGGGACATGGTATATACACATGCAGAACATACCTGTCTGGATGCTGCTCACTGGTTAACTGCCTTGCAGTTTCACCCAACTGCCTTATCGTGTCTGCATAATCTTCTACAGCCAATTCCAGGGTCTCATGCTTCTTCATCAAATTCTGTGCTGAGATTTCATCCTTGCCACGATCTTCCACCATCATGTACAATTCCTGCTCACTCATCCACGATTCTGCTTCACTTGCATCGAAGAAATACTGTAACATTTATTCCATTACAGTGATGTCAGCAAAATGATGCACAGAGAAACCAACCATGAAAAAGAAAACCAAGGTAAAATATTATTGCTGAGATATCATTGATTTTTTTAATCAGAACTTCCATGATTAAAAACCAGTAATAAAGACTGCCATTAGAAAAGTTCTTTCTACTGTGAGTGGTGATAGAAACCATCTGTGTCATGTTCTCAAACAACTTAGAATATCCGAGTGACTTTCAATAAAGAAACATTTAAGCCACACATAAAAATAAAATAATATCAACAAAATTTAACACTGACTGTAAACTGTGACCCTAAATGAAATAAACAGTAACTTGTACAACATAACCCCACCTGCTGTGCCTTCTCCGACTGCAACAGTTTGTTTCGTCGATTCTCCACTGCATCTTTCAGCTTCTGCCATTTGGCCAGTAAGTCCTCAATTAGATGCGTAAATTCTGGTGCATCCTCATGGCCCTCATCTATTAATTTCTGCCCATTGTTACAAACCAAATGTATCCTAGGTTCGTGATTGTCAATCTCTGTGCGTAGTGACTGCAACATAATAAGAGCATAAGGATACAAACTCACAACATCCATACACATACACTTAATGTAAAATAACCTTTTATCAAAGTTTTCAAAAATGGTTTGTTGAAAGACACTCAGGGGTTACCAGTTTGCAGCCTCATAGTTACGCAATACTGATTCAAATCTATTCAAGGCAGGTTTGAATGCACAAAGTTATACACTAGTTCTATGGCACACAGCCTACAGATAAACTTGATGATGGTATTCTGGCTCAAGATTTTCAAAGATGTACAGTGAAACCTCGATGCATCGTTTTCGGCGGGGGTGGGAAATAAAAACGATGAATGCGGGAAAACGATAGATGCGGGAAAGCATTAAAATTTTTTAAAAAAACAATGTTTCTCTTTCAAAGTCTTTAATGGACAACTGGTTTGTCGAAACTTTACGTTTTAGACCAAACAGAGCACTTTCCACGTTCAAAATGTTTTCCTCGTCACGTTCACTAATATTAAGCGCATAAAAGAACAACTTCACTTTCGCCAATGCAGCGTGTGCTTCGGCAAA